CATTTGATAGGGTGGACAGAACAACACTATGGAAACTTCTTCGACACTACGGCGTGCCTCAGAAGATAGTCAATATCATACAGAATTCCTATGATGGATTGAACTGCAAAAACGTTCATGAAGGGCAGCTGACAGACTTGTTCGACGTAAAGACCGGTATCAGGCAAGGTTGCTTACTCTCAACCTTTCTCTTTCTCCTGGTGATCGGCTGGATCATGAAGACGTCAAAATCTGAAGGGAAGTAGGGGTTGCAATGGACAATTAGAATGCAGCTGGACGATCTAGACTTCGCAGATGATCTGGTTCTTTTATCGCACATGCAACAACAAATGCAGGAGAAGACAAACAGTGTGGCAGCATCCTCAGCAGCAATAGGTCTCAATATACACAAAGGGAAAAGCAGGATTCTCCGATACAACACAGCATGAACCAATCCAGTCACAATTGACGGAGAACATTTGGAAGATGTAAAAACCTTCACATATTTGGGCAGCATCATTGACGAACAGGGTGGATCTGATGCAGATGTGAAGGCGCGGATCGGCAAAGCAAGAGCAGCATATTTACAACTGAGGAACATCTGGAACTCAAAGCAACTGTCAGCCAACACCAAGGTCAGGATTTTCAATACAAATGTCAAGACAGTTCCACTGTATGGGGCAGAAATCTGGAGAACTACGAAAGCCATCATCCAGAAAATACAGGTGTTTATTAACAGTTGTCTACGCAAAATACTTCAGATCCATTGGCCGGACACTATTAGCAACAACGTACTGTGGGAGAGAACAAACCAGATCCCAGTGGAGTAAGAAATGAGGAAGAAGCGCTGGAAGTGGATAGGACACACATTGAGGAAAGCACCCAACTGCGTCACAAGACAAGCCCTCACATGGAATCCTCAAGGCGAAAGGAAAAGAGGAAGACCAAAGAACACATTACGCCGAGAAATGGAGACACATATGAGAAAAATGAACAAGAATTGGATGGAACTAGAAAAGAAGGCCCAGGACAGAGTGGGTTGGAGAATGCTGGTCAGCGGCATATGCTCCATTGGGATTAACAGGCGTAAGTAAGTAAGTAAGGTGCAGTACTATAGAAATGAGTATGTTGTCCAACTACAGATTTTTTATGTTTCTCTCTTTTAATTTTTCTTGTATCTTTTTTGTTAGTCCGGCATCTTAAAATGATATACAATGGTTTTTTCTTCCTTAAGAGCAAAATTAATAGATACGTGAATGTTTTTAAGTATATTAAACAAATTATCCTTCTCACGTTTTTTTCTATTACTGTGAACGGATCATCTATATAGTGACAGTAAGATGATGGATGACTGGCTGTGTCTTTAAGTGGTCTGTTTACCAGTTTTGCAGGAAAAAAGTATGCTTGAGATGGGCCAGTGGTGACCCCATAGCTACACTGTCTAACTGTCTATATATTCACTGTGAAATCGAATGTCGACATTCATCATGCATCTGTAGCGTGGCGTCGAGTCGCGGTTGACTATGAACACCGCTACAAAGAAACACGTGCCAAGTAAATCAGAAGGCGTAGGTTGAACGTAACCAAAGAAACCCATAAAATCTCCGAGAAGCCAAATACCAGAAGGCAATTAATGGACCAAATCGAGATATATATTTGCTGGCGATCTCGTGGTATGGAAAGGATACCGAGATCGTGCCATGATACAAGCTTGGTTACAGAACGTAACACAATCAAAGGTGTGTCTATATGAACGGAAGCACAAAATAGCTGTCATTAGCACAGTCAAACAAAAGCACATTAAAACAAACACTGGTACAGTTGGTTATAATAATAATTGTTTTTATTAAACCAGTCGTGTTCTCGTGATAAATGTGAGTCACTACACATCTAAGAATATAACTGTTTTATAGCAGATACGGAAATCAAGGTTTCTATTTGCCTGTCTATTAGTTCACTGAAAACTAAATCCACCATTTCCAGTAAGGAAATGTTAGTGGATAAAGAAGATAGATCTACTGATATCATAAAGCTATTTTTGACCAAGAGAATCCTTATATTATCAACAAACTCAAAGAAGACCTTAAACCGAAGCTTAAGAATTCCTTTATGTAATGGTTTGGGAGTTTGCACTTAGCATTTTGCTATAGTATGTTAGGCTGAACTAGTCATATCTACAATGAATCGAAGGGGCAAGCCACTTTTATATATTTATGACAGAACATATAGCCTTGGTGTTATCGTTCCTACTGGTCTTAACGTTTCAAACATTTATTCTAAGATAAGACCTTGATTTTTACTCTGTTTTAATGAGTCTAATAGTTTTTCTTTTCAATCCTATCTGCCATATTATTCTTCCATACCAGTTTCTAAAATTTACACCTATTATTTAGGAGAGCTTTCATCCTGTTTAAATAGTTTTTTATCCATAAGTACTACACCATAACCTTTGCCTGGCATTATGATTAACAATTTGTCATCAGTTTTAAGTTTCCATAAAGGCTCCTCATGTTTTTTCGTCAGAATCTCTTTCTAATTATGTCCATTATTTAGGTTCCTACGGTAACAGTTCACTAGTGTTGATTTAGATCTTTGGCATCAGTTTTGATGAAATTACTAACTCTGTCGTTTGGACATAAAGGATGTGAACTATACCGTCATGCAATAAATGCTTTGACTATGAACTTGACATTTAATTATTTTCTTTTTCACGTATGACATTCACACACATCTCATTTTACTGTTGATTCAGCGGAGTTTAAAAGTTGCAGTTTAATATAATTGCATTTCATGGAATTTGTTCGTAAGCAAATCACTAGTAGTGTGAAGTATAGCAACCTGACCTAATGTACATATTCAGAGCCTATTTTAATTCCACCCCCCTCTGTTTAGTTAAATAAATGGGAGGACCATTAGTGTGGTTATTGATGATGTAAACTTTGCTTATTACCTTCTTTAGACTTTACATATGCTGAATGAATAATGTTTCACGGATTATTTTTTTGGTGGTCATCAATCTGAATAACAATGCTCATTATATTATAAACTTCCAACCTCTGGTTACTGAAAAACTAGAACAAAGCATTCACATGACTAAAGGTGTTTGTAAACTTACATTTGATCTCCAAAGTCTTTTCGAGAATAACGATCCCTCTTTTGAAGATGATTACTCGAATAAATTGACATTTCTTTCACAAATTTAGAAATCGGCTAGAAAGTCTCCAACTGCTCAATAAAGAGTAATACAATCTTGATTTATCTGTAGTTTAGTTCTATATTTGTAAATTTTCTTGATACACATTAAGCGCTAGCTCTGAAAAGTAAGAAAAATCTAAAAATTAACACACTAAGTAAGGAGTTACAATCGACTTCACTTTTTGGTCGTAGTATACCAATAATAAATCAACTGAAAAGGCTTTAACAAAGATACCTTGAACTTACGAATTGACGAGTTTCATTTATCGTTTTCCACCAGTTATTTTTCTAAGAAAGTTTCAGTTGATGAATAAAAGTAACAAAATTGTTGAAAGAGCTGATCTCACCTAAAGAACAAACACAATGATTTACGGGTATTAGTTAAAATCAAAACCATCTTCATAGACCAATAAATCAAATTATCCGATAATGTGCACCAAAAGATTTAATGTACAGCTTTTGAAACATTATGAAGAAGACAAAAAAGTCCCTTTCCAATTGTCATAGACACGAATACAACATACAAATACTTAACTACATCTGGTGTTTCACTTGTCAAGAAGTTCATAATTAGTTTAAATATGGCTGAAGTGATTTTTGCACTAAAAATAAATATTGGTGTTACTACAATCATCCATGTATATTGATGTTCTCAACTTCACAGTTTATTTTTGCTAAAATTATGATGATTAGGAGTATTTGAATTATAGTATGAACTAAGAATCCCAGAAATAACGTAATCGGATCAAGAAATAGTAGATAAGCACAAACGAATGTACTGTATTTACAATTCGAAATCAAGCATTCAACAAGTACAAAAGAATCATTAGTTAATTCAAACACTACAAAAATATATTACGTATAGATGTAAGATGCAATGGAATTTCCATAAGAAATCGAGGACTAAGAGTGTTAATCAATTGGCTAATAAGAATTAATTCCACAAGACATTTATCTGACTAATATTCGGCGGTACCGTACAAATAAAATCTAAAGTTAAGAACAGTAAAATCAAATGCACTAAATAACATCATTCACACAGCGCTGATAAAAAAAACTAGATAAATAACCACAATCTTCGATCACATTTTAAAATAACTGATTCAGTTCTGATGCTTAAATTTTCAACATACGTTGCTACCGTGACCGATTGAAATACCTAAATGAATAAACTTGCTATTGATAGGCTCTAGATCTGTGTTACCAAACGATTTCAGAATTATTTACAGTGAATGTAAAAGAATCAAATTACTACTGATTTTTGTAATGTAGTTCACTTCATGCTTTTAAAACAACTAATATTTAAATTGAGGTTAAAACTTGATTATAAATAAGGTGTTCTAGTTAAGCATAGTGGGGATTTGTGCCTTTTATATGTAACGTAACATAATGTCAATATTTTACTTAATAAATGTTTGTTTTTTTAATCCGATCTGATGCCTGACTAATTTTATCCAAAACTTTATTTGAATAATCATCAATACACCATGTTATCATAAGTACAAAATTATTATCAGCTAGTAGTACTTAGACATTTTTATAATGTCTAAATAATTTTTAATTATACACATTAATCAGGTCATATAGATTACTTTTATAAAAACCAACTTATGTTGAATCAGATTTGTTTATACATTCCACCTTAAATTGAAATTCATATTTTAAACTTAGAAATAAGTAATATATTCAAATTGATAATGTTCACATGGTTTATCTGGTTTTTCGATCATTATTCTGCCAATCAAATAAATCCTTGTATGTTCATACATTTTTCAAATTTTTAAACATTTTCAATGACCTAACTAACTATAATTTGTATTTTGTATTAAATTTCAAATACTCAACACTGATTGGTTCATTAATACATCTATAAAAATAATATTCGATATTCATGTATTGAAATAGCCTACCCCAAAAAGTTTTAAAAATTTAAAATATTACTATTGGATGAATGAAGCTTGATATTTAATGATGAATTTCGTTGTTCTTTGAATGATCTATAATTTCGTTTCAACAAGATATCATCATTTTCAAGTTTCTATTCATAAAACATTAAAACACTGTGATAAAGAAATGACACCAAATGATCAAACTAATGGTGGACGCAAAACAGTTGATATTTGTGATTTAGTACTTGACTATGTAACACAATTTCCATTTGCTAAAGATGTAAAATCACGTATTAATTTAGATGATATTCACTCATCTGATATTGATTTTACACGTTTATTTGTTACTCATAAAAAAACAGAATACCTCTTACCAAATATAGTCAATGGTGATACCAAACAAAGTATTGCAGTGCCACCAAAGACTTTACCGCCAACTCTCAAAAAAGATCTTAAAAGCCATGTTCTATTCTCATCTATATTTACAAACAAAACGAGTGAAACACAGACAAATCATTTAAGAACTGAACGTCGAACAAGTTCATCTTGTCGACTGAGTTTACAAAAGGTTGTTACAAAGGGTGGAAGTATAAATTTGCAAATAGGACCACCAAGTATGTCTGTGCAAGCTAACGGGGGTTTTCGACGCGAAATAACAATGTCTAAGGATATAGAAGAAGTATTTGAAGAAGAATTAACCTGGACATTAGATACAGAAGTGAGTATAATGGTCGGTATGTTTGTATATTTAACAACTTACCTCATTTTAAAGTAAAAAAGTGTGATTTTTAACAAAACCTTCAGTAAGGTCAAATTTTAAAAAGATGTAGAAGAAAATTGAATAATGTATCCAATCACAAAACACTGTGCTCAGTCACAGGTGACAGTGAATTGGATGATAGATTGTCTTGCAGTAGTAACTAGAATGTATTTTCTGATTGCGTCAGTATCTACATTTACCCATTTACTTAATAGAAGTCACATTTCAGATATGAGATTATTGGTATTTAGTCTTAAACATATATAGATCGATATCATTATGGTATTATCGCTAAGTTAACAAACAATTAAATAAATTGATGATGAATATATATGCTAATTCCCACGGTAGTTCATTTCAGTAATACAGAAATAACATCAATATAATAATCAGATGTACATTCTACAAAAGGAATATCATGGATATTTCCTTTCATTTTCAAGTTATGAAATATCTGTTTAAAATACTAGAAGGTGCTAGATTTTATAAATTTTCAAAACAGTTTGTTGTTAAATTTCCTTTTAAAAAGTAACCTACATGCTTACTTACATCTTAACTTAAAAAAATAGCAATACATTGGATAAGTTTAAGTCATCTAGTATATATACAAGCTCCATTAAGTAGAAACGGAATTCTCTCGCAATCATACTGGTTATTTTTCTATTAAGTGATTCCGTTTTTGAAAAAAGCCTAGACAGCTTAAAATTACTATTGAATTTAGTGCTACCACATGGGTTTCCGAAGACTCAAGTTATTTTCTCATCAAGAGCTAACGTCACCGGATGAACTACCGATGTAGTGAACAGAACACAGGCGGGGACAATCGAATGTGCTTAACATAAAATTACAGGACTTGTTAATAAAATCTAACAATCATAAAATGCTCAGTTTGCAAAATGTCCACCGATTGTCTCAAAATGACTCAGACTTCATTGTCCTTGCATTTTCATACAAATTACATCCTGTTTCGACTCTTTACTGTTCGATCCTTTTGTCTCTCTGCTGCCAGACCTTCTGTTCACGACTAACATCATATACTACTTATGTCAATATAAGTAGCACACACCACCCTGGAACCTACAGAGTACTCAACAAAGGTCTCATTCGCGCTTGAGACTTCCCAACACTGCTCACTGGCGATCTCATTAAATATTGAATAAAGCACCTTGTTTTCCAGCGATCATGATACTTGAGACAAATAAATTAAAATCTAATGGTCCAGATTTCCAAACTCAGTCAATTTGCTATATGATGTAATCTTCATCCAATGTTAGTTGTGAGTTGTCGTCTCAGTAAGATCACAGTTTCACACCAAAACTTCCATAAATCTGTTTTGGATTTAGTTTGTTGTTTCTTGCAGTTTACGATTCTCTAACTTAGATTACTTTGGGTTGGAAATTTACTCAGCAGTACATGTATAAATATCTTCAGCACGAATATCTAGTGTATTCATAAGGCAAGTCATTCAATTGAACATATAGTTTTACCTTAGAAATATGTGAAATAAAAAATCACTTTATTAAACATTTTCTCAACACATGTTAATAAATGTTAGTGAAAGTAATCAAAGTCAACTGGAACAGTTACTGTTCCACCAAATCTCATGTCTTAAAGATTAAAACTAGAATAAATGAGTATGGGGATTTGTGGAGATTGTAGTATTCCCACAGTTGAATTCACGAGTTGATCTAAGCTAGGTCAATGCAATTCACTACATAATTAACAGTCAGTCTCAATATAGTCTAGAATGTGATTTTTTAATACAAAGCCTGCCAATTGGGTGAAAATTAACACAGCTAATCAAGTTATGTAAGTAGACTATGTCAAGTAATATACTAAATGAGCCTATATCTCAGTAGAGACTTATGAGTTTGATCCTCGAAATCAGCAACGAAAGACTGAGAATCCCTACACGATGTGGTTTCTAGCTATGTTTCTGAATTTCCCTACAAATATTTTGTATATGAAATTATGTTTCTATACTTGTTTTAAGATAAAAAAAGAACTAGTTTGACTAGATATGATATTGTATTTCTAGTTTTCCACTACTCCAGTCAATGGATAAACATTTTGCCTGAAAAGCGTAAAAACAGAATGATATGAATAAACTCAACTTATCAACTAGCAGCTGTCTATAATCTGCCAGTGTTTAGTTTTAAAACAAGATAATTTCAACATGCTTTAGTTCATCGGATGGCTAACCTGTAGTTCAATTAAAGATTTAGATAGTCTAACAAAGTATTTTAGAAATTCAAATATGATTGAGCATATTGGATAGGATTTTATTTCGCTGAATACTCATAGAAACTTGTGCTGAAAAAAAGATATTGTGTTACTTAAACTCAAACACTATGCAAGTTAGTGTATAGGGATTCGAAGCAACAAAAGTGATTTATGATGTGAGGGTAAATCATTTAGTCATCTTGAATGTGTTAACGCAGAGAAAGTAGTGAAAAATTTAACTTCTTTCAGAATGTTCCAAAGTAGTGACTTATCGACAATACATTCACTCGTTGGCTTTTGAGTTAGTTCGATTTTTATAAGGTTTACAAAAGCTTTAGCTACCAAAAATTGAAAAACAGTCTTGTGCCTGAAAATAAACAGTCCACATTATTTCCCTGTCTGTTTATTTTAAAATATCCCGCTTATTTGATCACCATCATCTTTTGATTAAAATTAGACATAAATAAGTATACGCAGAAGTTGCGTTTACTTTAGTTAGTACCCCTCAGTAGTATTTTATGGCCAATCATACTGCTTGTCAATCTAGTCTGTAAGGAAACAAGTGAAAGGATAAGTTTTAAAGTGAAATGGTTGGCAAGTTGGATTTTAAATTTTATTATTTCTCTTGTTTAAGAAAGCTTTTAAAAGCCAAAATTTACCATGAATATTAATCCCCTTGGTTCCTAACGAGTTAGAACTGAAAGAGCTCAAAAATGTCACACCAGCCTAGTCATTTGTGATCACTTTAACCTTGGTGTGTCACAGAGAGATAAGGAATTTCGCGCCGAAATCCAAGACATGTTATCGTAAATCTGATTGGTACGTCCATAAATTGTAGGTTCGCCTCGTCTACCGTTTTCATTAGAAATTATTCATGTACAGAATTCACTCACATTACGGTTAGTTGTGATCATCAACAATAATACCATTTACTTTTCTCCCCCGATACATGGTCTCATTATAATCAAATATGAAGCATATAAACGAATCTATACTCACTGAATATTCGAACAAACCTATGCATAACAATTTTTAGCTAAACTCAACTGAAAAAGCTCGAACGTCAACACACCGGCCGTCAATCTACTAATCTTGATTTCAGTGACTGCCAACTCCATCCTCAACCAACTGGTATTATTTTGTCATATTTATTGTCTATTATATCAAATATCAACATTTCCTATCAAACGCAAAAAATAGAACGTGGAAAATAGTATAAAGTTCAAAGTAAAAAAAGCCAGACTCCGGCTAATGCAGCCATAATCAATATATCTGGATGACCTAGAAACTATGACTAAAACAAGCTAAGATATTTACCTCAAAAACATGATTACACAGTCTACAATGAATCACAACTATTTCATCTGTCGTAAGTGTTCAATTACTCTAAGCTGAGATACCGAGCAGATATGTACAATTACATAACACTCATCGGCTCCTTATTATTATAATTATCGAAATGAATTTTACAATAATCTCAGTATTAAAATTCTAATGCAAACATTTATGCATTGTAGTGTTATTGAATTAATGATGAAAAATGATCGATTCTCTATCTACAGTTTGGTAATGAAGCTAAATAATAAATAAATTTCCCAGTTCAGTTCTACAACGTTTATATAAAAAAAATTAAGTGACTTAACCTTTAATATTAAACAAATAGTAAAATACTTGGATAATTTAACAAATTTCAAGTTAACAGTGAAATCCGATTGATTATAAAAGTTCAAGACTACTCAATGAAATAGAACTTTTGAGGACATTTATACATAAGAATTCAAATATATTAATTTAATTGCTTTTAAGAGGCTTCAGTACTCGTTTTCAGAACAGTTCAGTAATTTGATATTATTTAAACTCGAAGAAGTAAAAAACATCAATGTGTTTACATATTCTCTTATGTAGTTGCTGTATATTAATGAGGACAGATCGATCTACGTTCATGAAGTTACACTCCATGTAGAATATTAAGCAGTCAAGTATACAGTACATTTATTTACATTGTTTCTGAAAATACATGAATGTGTAGTAAGAAAAACTGACAGATGAGAAAGTGGATTAGCGGCACGCCTACTATAATTGTACTTGGCTTTCGTTAACTTTTGCAATATTTAGCACATGAATAATGGACCTTGGCCAATCGAAGGGCGAATATATTTCCTAACAGTTTGCTTAGTAATACTTTATGGTTATGAATCATTATCTTTGAACGTTGATGACATGAGTACATGTGGAGTGTTTAAAGCACTCATCGCATATTTTGCGTCCATAGAGTGAGTAATTCTAAGCACGACTTGGCGTACTCCATAAAAATAGCCAACCGGTTGATGGAAGCTGTGAAAGGTCATCAAATAAGGTCATTAGCCACTACTTAACCCTTATGCTAGAAGTTCACTAGCTTACAAGTGAGTTGTAAGAAAATAGGAACAGATGGACATAGCACCAGTTCATCATGTCGCTAACCTTTGAAATGAACCTTGTTGGTAAATATAGTCTAAGCGGTTGAGGTCATTTATGATGGCATACTTTAGGTGATGACTCAAAATATGTTGCACAGAATTAAACATATTTATTCCTTATCTTCCACTAAATCTTGAAAATTTTTCCTCTTTCAAGCCGTTCATTCTCTAGCTCTGTTCGTCATTCCCAATTTATGTTATATATTTTCACTCTTCATTATCATGGATAGTACTGTTTTGATTTGATAGCTTTTTTCTTGTTGTGTTGATTTAAAGGGTTACAACCTAAACTTATACATATTTACGTCACATTCTAAATCATTTATAACTGACTGTATGCAATTTTTGGATTCGGGAGATATAAACAAAGCAGTAGAATTACAGATTAATGTCAATTAAAGTATTTCACTAAGGGGAAAATTAAAGGTAGATGGTATTTACAAGATAGTACTGACTCAGACTAGTTAAAAATCCCCATAACTAAATTCCTATTCTGCTAATTAAATATCTGTTCTAAACAGTTAATCAATCAACTAAGCTAATTATCAAGAAGAAAGGCATGACTATAATAAAGCTTAAGACAAATAAGTTAATTTATAGGTTCAAGGCTTCTCAAATCTATGGCTTATCATTAGATAACTTAAAATTTTGTTTAAGTGACTATTAGTGAGAACTATTATCATTCATACTTTTATATTTAGATAAGTTCACATCATCTAATAGCTGCATGTAATTTTTAATATCTTCGGTCAATCTCAAGTAATATTGTAATACTTTCAAACTATTAATATATCCGTCTCAATTTTAAATCACATACGACTGCTTATGCAATCAGTTCGAATATTATTACCATGTGTTAACGATATAGCAATGATGGTAGTGGTCAGTTATAAAGCTTTCTTGAAAAAAATTAATTTGTAATGTTTTATTCTTATGAAGTATCTGTTTTCAAAAGTTTGTTATCGGAATAATTATCGTGAAATCAGGGTCATACTACGGTCTGATGCGTGTTAAGTGTTTGAAGACGTTCGGTAAGAAGTACTAGACCTAGGTTCTGTGTCAACTGGCACCAATCCGAAACGCTCAGTGAACTAATGCTCCTCGTGGAATCCGAAAAACTTTTCATTGCCTCACAGAGAAAGATGTCATCATCGAGCTACTTGTCCATAAATGATCTTATGTAGGACCCGATTGTTTAAACACTAATTGACTAAGATGTAGTAACTGATCTGATGTTTTATGGTCTATAGACCTTACCCTAGTGACTAATGAAATTGATCGATAAAGTCTGATCAAATTTAAAGACTATTACATCACAGTTAACAACTAATATGTATTTATCAATCTGAAGATAGTTTTCTCTACCCCCACTTTCATCGTCTTTTCCTAATTTCCTCTTCAGTTGGAAGCTGGTTTGTTCTCTCCCACAGTAGGCTCTTGCTGGTGGTATTCGGTCAACGCATGTTGAGTATTTTGTGTAGACTGTTGTTTAGAAATACTAGTGCATTTTCGATGATGGTTGTGGTAGTTCTCCAAGTTTCAGTTTCATACAGTGGAACTGTTTTGACGTTCGTATTGAAGATTCTGACTTTGATGTTGGTTAACAGTTGTTTTGAGTTCCATATGTTCTTCAATTGTAGGAATGCGGCCCTTACTTTGCCAATCCTCGCCTTTACGTATACATCCGATCCTCCTTGTTCGTCTATGATGCATCCCAGGTACGTGAAATATTCCACACCTTCCAGAGTTTCTCCATCAAGTGTGATGGGTTTGGTGTCCTCCTTGTTGTATTTGAGGATCACGCTTTTTCCTTTGTGTATGTTGATGCCTACCGATGCAAAGGCTGCTGCTACACCAGTTGTATTCATCTGCATTTGTTCATGTGTACGGGATAGAAGAGCCAGGTCATCTGAGAAGTCCAAGTCATATAATTGATTCTGAGCTGTCCGTTGTATTCCGTGCTTCCCCTCAGATGTGGAGGTTTTCATAATCCAATCGACTACTAGAAGAAAAAGGAAGGGGGAGAGTAGACAGCCTTGTCGGATACCGGTCCTCACTCGGAACGTATCTGCCTGCTGTCCTCCATGCACAACTTTGCAGTGTAGTCCATCGTAAGAATTTCATCTACTGAATCTTCCATTTGGTTTAACAATCTCAGCTGAAAACGTTTCTTAGTATTGATAGTAATTTGATGCCTTTGTAGTTCTCAAACTTGCTAAGATCTCCTTTCTTTGGCGTCTCAATGAGGTATCCTTCTTTCCAGTCTGTCAGTGGCACTCCAAAATCTTACTGAATGGAACGTGGTGCATGTTTGTTGTTGCTTCTAGATCTGATTGCAGTGATTCAGCTGGTATGTTGTCAGGTCCTGCTGCTTTCCCACACTTGATCTGTCTGATGGCCATGGTAAGTTCTTAGGTTGTTGGTGGAGTGACAACTATTGGAAGGTTTGTATGTGCCGCTCCGAAGTCCCGTGGGTTCAGAGGGGCTCGCCCGATCAGGATTTTGTTAGAGTGTTCTACCCGTCTGTCCTGCTTTTCTTGAAATTCAGTGATTGGTTTGTCTTGTTTGTTCTTGACTGGTTGCTCTAGTTTGATATTTTCCCCTGCAATGTTTTGAGTTGTATCACATAGTCATCTCATATTCCCTTCTCTCATAGAGAATTTTCGGCTGTTATTGTTAGATCTTCCACCTACTCCTGCTTGTCGGCTTTAATCCCTCTCTTCACTCGCTTGTTTGCTTCTGTGTATTCAGTTTGTGCCTTGATTCTCTATGCTCTTGTTCAACTGTCGTTGGTTTCTTTCTCCTTGTCTTTCCTTTCTTAGACCCTGTCTTGGGTATCGATAGAGATCCATTCTTTACGCTGGTGCTGTAAAACAAGACAATTGACTAGAGGCATGTATGTTTACTGTAAGAAGTTAGAAGATATTCACATAGCGCACATACATAGCCTCTAATCCTCCATTCGCGTCTGCTGGTGTGTTCTGTAGTCGTAGCCGTCTTCTCGTCTGGTCTTCACGTGTTATGCTAATGCCATGATTTCGAAGCACTGAAACCCTTCATCCCGTCTGACAATTGTTGCAACTTTGACGCCACGTTCCTCTACACACTACTTACAAACATCCTTGTGAATAGTGTCTACTACGGTGCTTTTTGCGACACAGCACCTCCTGAGATTTTGAAGCTAATCCTAATAGTAGGATCCCAGTCAGTCCATGTCATCCCTTGATATCTTCATAACCGGTGTTGCCTATTCCGACTTTGGGGTTTGAGTTTACCATCAGGATAGTCAGATGTTTTCTTGGAAATTTCTGTAGCATGGATTAGTGCCTCGCATAAAACTGATCTGCATATTTTCCGATGCTAACATTGATAGGTGTGCTACACTGAAGGGCACTGATTTTTATCCCCTCTCCCTTTGTTTTGATAAGTAGAACTATTCATTGATTGAAGTGAATAATTTTTTGACAAAACATAATGGTAACCCGATATGGATCAATAAATTTCGGATTTTTCCTTAAAACATAAAACAATAAAACACCTGTCAGAAATCTTCTGTATTTTAACTCGTATGTTTTTGAAAAGTTTATTGATTTCTTTTATCCCGATGTAGCGAAAGCAAAATTTTTTAATATGTTTATTGGGTTAATTACCAGTAGATAGTTAGTGCCATTTGTTCCGTCAGGATACTGGAGCCCATGTGCACCATTAGTTTGGAATCAGGGTTTTCCAACTCTCCTAGGTGGATCTTCCATATCCACCAACGCGGTTAAAGCTCAGAAGTTGGCGTTTCGTCCTCTTAATTCCGTAAACAACATGAATGCCGCGAGATGGTAGTGATTATGACTTCCGTGACAGTGGCTGTAAACGCGTGGTCATGTGAGAGCATTTGGAGAGAGAAAGAGCTAACTCTCCCCACCCTCTGCCATATCAGGGCATTTGGAAGCTTTTAACAACAAAACTATTATTAATTTCCCTTATAAAAATAACGTTTTAATTCTTTTACCATTCTATTACCATGTTTAACAGAATTTTATAATCACTATTATTGTAATTACTATCATCTTGAGAAATAAGTATGCATTTGCGATTGTGCAGTTTTGAAAATGAATGCTCCTAAAAGAGAACTTCTGTTATAAAC